CTTCTTGCGTCACATCTACCTTCTTGCGTCACACCTCCCTTCTTGCGTCACATCTCCCTTCTTGCGTCACACCTCCCTTCTTGCGTCACATCTCCCTTCTTGCGTCACACCTCCCTTCTTGCGTCACATCTACCATCTTGCGTCACACCTCACTTCTTGCGTCACACCTCCCTTCTTGCGTCACACCTCCCTTCTTGCGTCACATCTCACTTCTTGCGTCACACCTCCCTTCTTGCATCACACCTCCCTTCTTGCGTCAAACCTCCCTTCTTGCGTCACACCTCCCTTCTTGCGTCACACCTCCCTTCTTGCGTCACTCCTCCCTTCTTGCGTCACACCTCCCTTCTTGCGTCACACCTCCCTTCTTGCGTCACATCTCCCTTCTTGCGTCACACCTCCCTTCTTGCGTCACACCTCCCTTCTTGCGTCACACCTCCCTTCTTGCGTCACACCTCACTTCTTGCGTCACACCTCCCTTCTTGCGTCACACCTCCCTTCTTGCGTCACACCTCCCTTCTTGCGTCACATCTCCCTTCTTGCGTCACACCTCCCTTCTTGCATCACATCTCCCTTCTTGCGTCACACCTCCCTTCTTGCGTCACACCTCCCTTATTGCGTCACATCTCCCTTCTTGCGTCACACCTCCCTTCTTGCGTCACATCTCCCATCTTGCGTCACATCTCCCTTCTTGCGTCACATCTCCCTTCTTGCGTCACACCTTCCTTCTTGCGTCACACCTCCCTTCTTGCGTTACATCTCCCTTCTTGCGTCACACCTCCCTTCTTGCGTCACATATCCCTTCTTGCGTCACACCTCCCTTCTTGCGTCACATCTCCCTTCTTGCGTCACACCTCCCTTCTTGCGTCACATCTCCCTTCTTGCGTCACACCTCCCTTCTTGCGTCACATCTCCCTTCTTGCGTCACACCTCCCTTCTTGCGTCACATCTCCCTTCTTGCGTCACACCTCCCTTCTTGCGTCACATCTCCCTTCTTGCGTCACACCTCCCTTCTTGCGTCACATCTCCCTTCTTGCGTCACACCTCACTTCTTGCGTCACATCTCCCTTCTTGCGTCACACCTCCCTTCTTGCGTCACATCTCCCTTCTTGCGTCACATCTCCCTTCTTGCGTCACACCTCCCTTCTTGCGTCACATCTCCCTTCTTGCGTCACACCTCCCTTCTTGCGTCACATCTCACTTCTTGCGTCACACCTCCCTTCTTGCGTCACATCTCCCTTCTTGCGTCACACCTCTCTTTCTCGTTGTTCCTCCATTCTAATTTTAAATTATCTTCACTTCTTTGCTCTTCCTCAATTAACACACCTGCCTCCTGCCTCCAAGTTTGTCCTCTACTTGTTCTCTCTCCCTCTGTCTGTCTCTCTGTCTCTCTCTCTCTCTCTCTTTCTGTCTGTCTGTCTGTCTGTCTGTCTGTCTGTCTGTCTGTCTGTCTGTCTGTCTGTCTGTCTGTCTGTCTGTCTCTCTCTCTCTCTCTCTCTCTCTCTCTCTCTCTCTCTCTCTCTCTCTCTCTCTCTCTCTCTCTCTCTCTCTCTCTCTCTCTCTCTCTCTCTCTCTCTCTCTCTCTCTCTTCTCTTTCCTTCTCCCACGCTATACCTCTTCTCTATCCTCACTAGTCCTCCCCCCCTTGCTTTATCTTCTCTCCCTCACTCCTCCCTGCTCTTGACTTGGGCCGTGAGGGCGTGGTACTCAAAGGTCTGGTGATCAATAGTATCCCTCACCTGTGATGAGTGTGGTGAGGAGTGAGGGAGGGAGGGGTTCCCTCCCTCACTGGTGGTGGCGTGAGTGAGAGAGAGGAAGTTCTCACTCTCACACGTCATGGGTGACTCTCCCTCCCTCACTGGTGGCGGGGAAGGACTCACTGCTCTGACTATCCACACGTGAGCTGTTGTCGAACTTGCTTGTGCTCGAGTCAATCCTGTGAAAGAGGTGAACGGGAATTCAATATCGATGGTGCATACACAGTCTGGGGCATCGTATGATGGCATAGTTCATACACAGTCTGGGGCATCGTATGATGGCATAGTTCACACACAGTCTGGGGCATCGTATGATGGCATAGTTCATACAGTCTGGGGCATTGTATGATGGCATAGTTCATACAGTCTGGGGCATCGTATGATGGCATAGTTCATACAGTCTGGGGCATTGTATGATGGCATAGTTCATACAGTCTGGGGCATCGTATGATGGCATAGTTCATTCACAGTCTGGGGCATCGTATGATGGCATAGTTCATACAGTCTGGGGCATCGTATGATGGCATAGTTCATACAGTCTGGGGCATCGTATGATGGCATAGTTCACACACTGTCTGGGGCATCGTATGATGGCATAGTTCATACACAGTCTGGGGCATCGTATGATGGCATAGTTCATACAGTCTGGAACATCGTATGATGGCATAGTTCATACAGTCTGGGGCATCGTATGATGGCATAGTTCACACAGTCTGGGGCATCGTATGATGGCATAGTTCACACAGTCTGGGGCATCGTATGATGGCATAGTTCATACACAGTCTGGGGCATCGTATGATGGCATAGTTCATACAGTCTGGGGCATTGTATGATGGCATAGTTCATACAGTCTGGGGCATCGTATGATGGCATAGTTCATACAGTCTGGGGCATTGTATGATGGCATAGTTCATACAGTCTGGGGCATCGTATGATGGCATAGTTCACACAGTCTGGGGCATCGTATGATGGCATAGTTCATACACAGTCTGGGGCATCGTATGATGGTATAGTTCATACAGTCTGGGGCATCGTATGATGGCATAGTTCATACAGTCTTGGGCATCGTATGATGGCATAGTTCATACACTGTCTGGGGCATCGTATGATGGCATAGTTCATACAGTCTGGGGCATCGTATGATGGCATAGTTCATACAGTCTGGGGCATCGTATGATGGCATAGTTCATACACTGTCTGGGGCATCGTATGATGGCATAGTTCATACAGTCTGCGGCATCGTATGATGGCATAGTTCATACACTGTCTGGGGCATCGTATGATGGCATAGTTCATACAGTCTGGGGCATCGTATGATGGCATAGTTCATACAGTCTGGGGCATCGTATGATGGCATAGTTCATACACAGTCTGGGGCATCGTATGATGGTATAGTTCATACGGTCTGGGGCATCGTATGATGGCACAGTTCACACAGTCAGGGGCATCGTATGATGGCATAGTTCATACAGTCTGGGGCATCGTATGATGGCATAGTTCATACAGTCTGGGGCATCGTATGATGGCATAGTTCATACACAGTCTGGGGCATCGTATGATGGTATAGTTCATACAGTCTGGGGCATCGTATGATGGCATAGTTCATACAGTCTGGGGCATCGTTTGATGGCATAGTTCATACACTGTCTGGGGCATCGTATGATGGCATAGTTCATACAGTCTGGGGCATCGTATGATGGCATAGTTCATACACTGTCTGGGGCATCGTATGATGGCATAGTTCATACAGTCTGGGGCATTGTATGATGGCATAGTTCATACACAGTCTGGGGCATCGTATGATGGCACAGTTCACACAGTCTGGTGGCATCGTATGATGGCATAGTTCATACAGTCTGGGGCATCGTATGATGGCATAGTTCATACAGTCTGGGGCATCGTATGATGGCATAGTTCATACACAGACTGGGGCATCGTATGATGGTATAGTTCATACAGTCTGGGGCATCGTATGATGGCATAGTTCATACAGTCTGGGGCATCGTATGATGGCATAGTTCATACACTGTCTGGGGCATCTTATGATGGCATAGTTCATACAGTCTGGGGCATCGTATGATGGCATAGTTCATACACTGTCTGGGGCATCGTATGATGGCATAGTTCATACAGTCTGGGGCATTGTATGATGGCATAGTTCATACACAGTCTGGGGCATCGTATGATGGCACAGTTCACACAGTCTGGGGCATCGTATGATGGCATAGTTCATACAGTCTGGGGCATCGTATGATGGCATAGTTCATACAGTCTGGGGCATCGTATGATGGCATAGTTCACACACTGTCTGGGGCATCGTATGATGGCATAGTTCATACAGTCTGGGGCATCGTATGATGGCATAGTTCATACAGTCTGGAGCATCGTATGATGGCATAGTTCACACAGTCTGGGGCATCGTATGATGGCATAGTTCATACAGTCTGGGGCATTGTATGATGGCATAGTTCATACAGTCTGGGGCATCGTATGATGGCATAGTTCATACAGTCTGGGGCATTGTATGATGGCATAGTTCATACAGTCTGGGGCATCGTATGATGGCATAGTTCACACAGTCTGGGGGATCGTATGATGGCATAGTTCATACAGTCTGGGGCATCGTATGATGGCATAATTCATACAGTCTGGGGCATCGTATGATGGCATACTTCATACAGTCTGAGGCATTGTATGATGGCATAGTTCATACAGTCTGGGGCATCGTATGATGGCATAGTTCACACAGTCTGGGGCATCGTATGATGGCATAGTTCATACAGTCTGGGGCATCGTATGATGGCATAGTTCACACAGTCTGGGGCATCGTATGATGGCATAGTTCATACAGTCTGGGGCATCGTATGATGGCATAGTTCATACACAGTCTGGGGCATCGTATGATGCCATAGTTCATACACAGTCTGGGGCATCGTATGATGGCATAGCTCATACCCAAGTTTTGTCACACAAGACTTAATATTATAGTGTAAAATTTCCACGGTGAAATTCAAATGAAAATTCACTATATAGTATTAAAAAGCATAAATCATTTTTGTTTCACTGCAAAATATGAACTAATGTTACATCTGTTGTAAAACACACTTCAAGCCATTGTGCAACTCTGTTCGAGTACGTGGGATTGTGTTAGTGTTTGTCTCTGTCATTGCTATAGCGCCTGAACGGCTTCTCAGATTTGTATGAAAACTGTTTCGTTGGGGAGTGTCCTGCAGTCTTGTGATAGTTATGGGAACCTACACCTGCATCCTGGGAGGCTACACCTGCATCCGTGGAGGCTACACCTGCATCCTTGGAGGCTACACCTGCATCCTTGGAGGCTACACCTGCATCCGTGGAGGCTACACCTGCATCCTTGGAGGCTACACCTGCATCCTTGGAGGCTACACCTGCATCCTTGGAGGCTACACCTGCATCCTTGGAGGCTACACCTGCATCCTTGGAGGCTACACCTGCATCCTTGGAGCCTACACCTGCATCCTGGGAGCCTACACCTGCATCCTGGGAGCCTACACCTGCGTCCTGGGAGCCTACACCTGCATCCTGGCCAACTACTGTTGTACAATTCAGAGTACTTAATGAGCCAGACTGGTAGTTAAGAGCGAGACTTGGTAACTGGTCGAGGCACAGGGCGACCCGTCTAGAGGTTGACCTCGCGGGTGGAGGAGGACCTCGTACCCAGGTCTTGTGAGGTCCTGGACCTCAAGGACCTCCCCCCCCTCCTCTCATTAGTGAGGTGTTACCCGTACACAAGAGCCAGCCATGGGGTTAAGAGGGGGTTTCTCACGACCAAACATCACATTCACTCTAAAAAATCTAGCATTTACGGGGTTATTCATGCCCGTGCCACCTCTTGTTCATCGGTGGGTTCATCGTCATTAATGGGTCACATATGTGTTGAGTGTGAGTTGGTAGTGGTCCAGGTGTGGGGGACACACCTTGTGTAGAGGGACGCACCAGGTGTGTGGGGGGACACACCAGGTGTGGGTGACACACCAGGTGTGGGGGGGACACACCAGGTGTGGGTGACACACCAGGTGTGGGGGGGACACACCAGGTGTGGTGGGGACACACCAGGTGTGGGTGACACACCAGGTGTGTGGGGGGACACACCAGGTGTGTGGGGACACACCAGGTGTGGGGGGACACACCAGGTGTGGGTGACACACCAGGTGTGGGGGGGACACACCAGGTGTGGTGGGGACACACCAGGTGTGGGGGGGACACACCAGGTGTGGGTGACACACCAGGTGTGGGGGGGACACACCAGGTGTGGGGGGGACACACCAGGTGTGTGGGGACACACCAGGTGTGTGGGGGACACACCAGGTGTGGGGGGGACACACCAGGTGTGGGGGGACACACCAGGTGTGGGTGACACACCAGGTGTGGGGGGGACACACCAGGTGTGGGGGGGACACACCAGGTGTGTGGGGACACACCAGGTGTGTGGGGGGGACACACCAGGTGTGGGGGGGACACACCAGGTGTGTGGGGGGGACACACCAGGTGTGGGGGGGACACACCAGGTGTGGGGGGGACACACCAGGTGTGGGGGGGACACACCAGGTGTGGGGGGGGACACACCAGGTGTGTGGGGGACACACCAGGTGTGGGGGGGACACACCAGGTGTGGGTGACACACCAGGTGTGGGGGGGGACACACCAGGTGTGGGGGGACACACCAGGTGTGGGTGACACACCAGGTGTGGGGGGGACACACCAGGTGTGGGTGACACACCAGGTGTGGGGTCACAACACATGGCCTCCAGGACAGGAGGCTCCAGTGTTGGACTTAAGTCATTCTCATAAATAAATTGTTCATAAAAGTCGTTTTTTATTTTACTTAATATTTCCCTCTTCATTAATACCTTGAGTACAACAGCTGGAGCTGACTTGTCATGGATATTTTAAGTGATTCCCAACGTGAATTAATAACACCTGTAATTAACAACAAGCTTAGAATTAAGAACTCATAATTATAGGAATTATCCAAAGATTTCTTGGTTTAAATGTCTTGACAACCATTCCTCAAGAGTCGGGAGTATTAATTAGCTTAATAAGTTACCATAATTGAGGAGTGGTAGCAGCACTTGACTTCAATTACCAGTCTTATATGATTATTCCGTTGGTTGTTTAACAGTAATAGGTTCTGTAGCCCTTGTTGAATTTGTTGAGAAAATTCGTGTTATAATTATTAATCTTACTTTTTCGGTCATATTAAATAATATATATGATATATATATATATATATATATATATATATATATATATATATATATATATATATATATATATATATATATATATATATATATATATGGTAGTGAGTGCCTCAGAGTGATGTATACTACAACATTACAAACACAACTAATAACAACCTGACATTGGTCGTTCTTCATATAAATTATAAATTGTCTAACCAAAACGACTAGGCTTTTAAAGCTACAGTAAATGAATGAAAAATATGGAACTGATATGGTTAGTTTTAATGCCATTTATTGATACCCTGGTGGTGGTAGTGAGTGCCTCAGAGTACTAACATATCCTGGAGGTAGTAGTAAGTACTTCAGAGTACTAACATACAATTGTGGTGGTGGTGAGTGCCTCAGAGTACTAACATATCCTGGAGGTAGTAGTAAGTACTTCATAGTACTAACATACAATGGTGGTGGTGGTGAGTGCCTCAGAGTACTAACATATCCTGGTGGTAGTAGTAAGTACTTCATAGTACTAACATACAATGGTGGTGGTGGTGAGTGCCTCAGAGTACTAACATATCCTGGTGGTAGTAGTAAGTACTTCAGAGTACTAACATACAATGGTGGTGGTGGTGAGTGCCTCAGAGTACTAACATATCCTGGTGGTAGTAGTAAGTACTTCAGAGTACTAACATACAATGGTGGTGGTGGTGAGTGCCTCAGAGTACTAACATATCCTGGTGGTAGTAGTAAGTACTTCGGAGTACTAACATACAATGGTGGTGGTGGTGAGTGCCTCAGAGTACTAACATATCCTGGTGGTAGTAGTAAGTACTTCAGAGTACTAACATACCCTGGTGGTGATAGTGAGTGCCTCAGAGTACCAACATACACTAGTGGTGGTAGTGAGTGCCTCAGAGTACTAACATACCCTGGCGGTGGTGGTAGTGAGTGCCTCAGAGTACTAACATACCCTGGCGGTGGTGGTAGTGAGTGCCTCAGAGTACTAACATACTCTGGTGGTGGTAGTGAGTGCCTCAGAGTACTAACATACCTTCGTGGCGGTTGTAGTGAGTGCCTCAGAGTACTAACATACTCTGGTGGTGGTAGTGAGTGCCTCAGAGTACTAACATACTCTGGTGGTGGAAGTAGTGAGTGCCTCAGAGTACTAACATCCCCTGGTGGTGGTAGTGAGTGCCTCAGAGTACTAACATCCCCTGGTGGTGGTAGTAAGTGCCTCAGAGTACTAACATACCCTGGCAGTGGTGGTAGTGAGTGCCTCAGAGTACTAACATACTCTGGTGGTGGAGGTAGTGAGTGCCTCAGAGTACTAACATACTCTGATGGTGGTAGTGAGTGCCTCAGAGTACTAACATACCCTGATGGTGTTAGTGAGTGCCTCAGAGTACTAACATACTCTGGTGGTGGTGGTAGTGAGTGCCTCAGAGTACTAACATACCCTGGCGGTGGTAGTGAGTGCCTCAGAGTACTAACATACCCTGATGGTGGTGGTAGTGAGTGCTTCAGAGTACTAACATACCCTGATGGTGGAAGTGAGTGCCTCAGAGTACAAACATACCCTGGTGGTGGTAGTGAGTGCCTCAGAGTACAAACATACCCTGGTGGTGGAAGTGAGTGCCTCAGAGTACTAACATACCCTGGCGGTGGTAGTGAGTGCCTCAGAGTACTAACATACCCTGATGGTGGTGGTAGTGAGTGCTTCAGAGTACTAACATACCCTGATGGTGGAAGTGAGTGCCTCAGAGTACAAACATACCCTGGTGGTGGTAGTGAGTGCCTCAGAGTACAAACATACCCTGGTGGTGGAAGTGAGTGCCTCAGAGTACTAACATACCCTGATGGTGGAAGTGAGTGCCCCAGAGTACAAACATACCCTGGTGGTGGTAGTGAGTGCCTCAGAGTACTAACATACTCTGGTGGTGGTAATGAGTGCCTCAGAGTACTATCATACCCTGGCGGTAGTGGAAATGAGTGCCTCAGAGTACTAACATACTCTGGTGGTGGTAGTGAGTTCCTCAGAGTACTAACATACTCTGGTGGTGGAAGTAGTGAGTGCCTCAGAGTACTAACATCCCCTGGTGGTGGTAGTGAGTGCCTCAGAGTACTAACATACCCTGGCGGTGGTGGTAGTGAGTGCCTCAGAGTACTAACATACTCTGGTGGTGGAGGTAGTGAGTGCCTCAGAGTACTAACATACTCTGATGGTGGTAGTGACTGCCTCAGAGTAGTAACATACTCTGGTGGTGGTGATAGTGTGTGCCTCAGAGTACTAACATACCCTGGCGGTGGTAGTGAGTGCCTCAGAGTACTAACATACCCTGATGGTGGTGGTAGTGAGTGCTTCAGAGTACTAACATACCCTGATGGTGGAAGTGAGTGCCTCAGAGTACAAACATACCCTGGTGGTGGTAGTGAGTGCCTCAGAGTACAAACATACCCTGATGGTGGAAGTGAGTGCCTCAGAGTACTAACATACTCTGGTGGTGGTGGTGGTAGTGAGTGCCTCAGAGTACAAACATACCCTGATGGTGGTAGTGAGTGCCTCAGAGTACTAACATACTCTGGTGGTGGTGATGACTAGTTTAACAGTTACCAGGGATGATATTATTAAACATATATTATTAACGATTCAGGAGACTCTGCTAGAATGTTGTCGATCTGTGGGTGAGAGGGAGAATTAAACATGTTATCTATTTCCGGGTCTGTCTGTACCTGGATATTACCACTGCCTGCTGTTACCTCAGACCTTGCTGTTCCGGCTGGCTCGTCCACAATCTTGGGATGATTGTTGCTCCAATCTGTCACCAAGTCGTTGGCTAGTATCACGTCAATCCCAGCCACAGGGAGGGTATCGACTACTGCCAACGCACATGTGCCGCTGAAGTAAGGCGAGTCAAGATGTACCGGCACTAAGGGGGCGACGTACTGCGTCCTAGGAAACCCAACCTGGACAACCTTTTGTCTCCCGTCCACACTCTACTCAGCTTCGAAGCTCTTCTCAGCTTCGGTAACGAGCTTCTCACGATCAGGGACTGGGCTGCTCCACCATCTCTGAGCACTACTACTGATGGTACTCTGGTGGTGGTGGTGGTAGTGAGTGCCGCAGAGTACAAACATACCCTGGTGGTGGTAGTGAGTGCCTCAGAGTACTAACATACCCTGGTGGTGGTAGTGAGTGCCTCAGAGTACTAACATACCCTGGTGGTGGAAGTGAGTGTCTCAGAGTACTAACATACCCTGGTGGTGGAAGTGAGTGCCTCAGAGTACTAACATACCGTGGTGGTGGTAGTGAGTGCCTCAGAGTACTAACATACCCTGGTGGTGGTAGTGAGTGCCTCAGAGTACTAACATACCCTG